AAAGTTGTATTGAGAAAGAATAAACTAGTTTTATTTAAGAAAGGACTTGTGGAAATTAAGTGTATTGCAAAGTTGTATTGAGAAAGAATAAACTAGTTTTATTTAAGAAAGGACTTGTGGAAATTAAGTGTATTGCAAAGTTGTATTGAGAAAGAATAAACTAGTTTTATTTAAGAAAGGACTTGTATCGCTGAAGTTTCTGGGAAAGAATTTCTATGGAAAATTAACAAACGAACAGAGACGTAACAATACATAACTGATGTAGTGTAAATATAAATTTGAATAGAGAACCCTAAGCCATATCTACAAAACAACGAGGTTACTCTTCCACCAGCTTATAGGTTGTTTTAGTGGATGAAGGTTAACCTTGATGGGTTGGATTGTCATCTGCCACTTTGATTTTTCTTTTGTACCATGATATTATATTTTCCTATTTCCAATCATAAAGATCCATTTATGTTACAACATAGTGCAGGCTGGAAAACTGCTTGTCCAGAAGAACAAAGCAACCATAATTCATCAGTAGGCAAGTAAAACATAACAAATAACAGTCGAATAGATAGCCTATCTTTCACAGCCCATACCCACAATTGTTGGCCTATTGCCATATTGAACTTGTGTTCACTATACTAATTAGAACACTTTTTACAATTTGTTTCTAGCTGTATTGGTCAACTATTTTTAGTTAAATTTATTATTAGTCTTTCATATGGCTTATCTAAATTCAAAAATGTACTTGTGTCAAACACCCATGAATTGTTATTTTCAGTTTTTCTGATAGATGATCAGTGACATTCTCTCAAGACTGTGGATGATTATATTCAACTGGCTTTCCTGATCTTAGGCATGTTTTAACTGACATTTCACACCCCCTAAGTTTGTGGGAAAGTTAAATTATTTACTTTTTTATCTTTCGGAGCTACTTATCACAAAAAGCTAACTCATCATGCACTGCTTAAGGCCCATGAGAGAGATCATTTAATTAGAACATCACTCAAAAAAAATAAACTATGAGTAACTAATAAATATCATAAAACATGTTCTCAGAAAATAGCATGTATATGTAATCACAATATAATAGTATCTGTAAAAAATGAAAACTTCTACACATATGTATTTTAGGAAAATTTTCATACTTCATCTTTTGTGTGAATCTAGTTGTAAAGTCTAATTGTAGTGTGTCTGTAAATTCAAACAAAATTTCTCTTTGTAGTAAATGACTCATAGGAAAATATGTTACATAATACTTGTTTTAGCAGAATATTCCCCAGAAGTGCAGTATCAGTTACCATTTATCAAGTCTTTCTTTACTGAGTCCTTCACAAGTGGAGTGGTTTCATTTCCAGTTAGTAAGAATACAATTAACAAGAAGATTATGCACAAAATCTCATAGGTAACTGGAATTAATCTATATAATAATTAAAAATCTCAATGTAATTTTTTTAAAGAAACATTATGAATCTTCCCAGATTCTTTCAGTAGAAACATCAAATGTAAAAAATTTAATTCATTACTAACAGTTTGTTTCAGGCACTACTTCGTACCATTACTACAACCACATATATGCATGTCAGAGAATTTTTTTTTTGAATTTCTTTATACAGAACTTAATTGTTCCTTTTTGTGTAGTTAAGTGAAATGTAATAAAATATTAATGTAACTCATTATTTTTACAATAATTTCTTTGAAATATAATATTAATAAGTGTAAAAGAATTTTAATTTATTAATTAGCTTTAATCAAAATATCAGTTTTTTATATACAGAAAGTTTTACCAATAACTACTTGTAGCATGCAGTGTTAAAAAATTCGAAGTTTTAGATTTCCTGTGTTATACAGACTATCTCATAAAAGCCTTTACAGTTGTTTAGAAGTATTCACCAAATTAAGTTAATATTATGAATACAATGATAAAGTTGTATATTTTATTCTAAGGGGACTTTGTGTTTGATGATTTAATTGAAAAGTATTTGAAGAAGTTCATATATTAACAATTACACTGTATCTTTAGATGAAATTAAAGGATAGACTGTGGCACTCACAATATTTTTGTGACTTAAGTTGGAGTAGAAAGTGGTATATAACTAATATGAAACATTTAATCTTGAAAGTACTGTGATATGCAAGTACCACAAATCACACTCTACCATAGCGTATATATATTTAACATTTACAAAATTGAAAATTTTATGTAAGATATTATTTGGAATGTACTAAGATAGTTGCATCTTAGTTTACTGTATGTATAGGGGAATACTTTATAACTGCAACATGAAGTAGAGTTACTTATGTATTCCTGAGATCCATTGTTTGTTGTTGTTTCTTTATTGGTCAGCTGCAAAGAGAAGGTGAATTGTGAATGTAGTTTTGGTATTTTCGAAACATTTTATTTTCTATTTTGAAGGAGTCAAGAGATGTTCTTGAAGTCTTGTCAATGTTTTAATCATTTAACCATTGCTTTTGTGTGGGTTATCCTTAGTTAACCTTTAATAATGGTATATTTTCATTTGTCTTTTTATTTGAATACAGTTTCCATTCAGTTACTTCTTATTTTGATAGCATATTTTTTTCAGTAACTTAAAAGTACAAAGCAATAGTCCATTGGACAGCTATTCATTTGTTTCTTCATTAATAAAGTCATTAATTTTTGTTAACTTCAATACTGGATTCTATCTCATTATTTAACATACTAAAAATCACTACACATGTCCTTATACATACTAGGGCCCAAATTTCTAGTTATTGTAGAGATTAGGTAACTGGATATTCGGTTTATTTTTGAATCACCTCATTAAAAAAAAGCTCCAGTTTTTGTTTAATTGTATATCAGGCTAAGTTATATTAATTTTTCAATTAAAATGCAGTATTTTCATGCCTTTACTTCCTGAGTAAATATTGATGTAACAAAGTGTAATGGATAATCAATAACAAATCCAATCCTCATGTAAAATTTATGTCTTATTTGAATTGATAAGTTATTAGAATGCAGTATTGTTTACAGTTAAATAGTGATGTTTTGTTTTGTTTTCAAATTTCCATAGCCTAATACTCCACATGACAGTTTATGTTCAAGTGTAAAGGTAAATTGTCTAACGTGATGAAGACACTCTAACTGAGGATAAAAGGGTATCCTTTTTTATGTAAAAATTTAAGCAATTATACATAATCTAAATTGATGAATTGGTCTCACTTACTGGTATTCAGTAAGACTACTTTTTAATTATCTGACTGGTTTACATTAATTTCAACAAATCTCTTAAACTAAGCTTTAACATAGTCTTCAATTTATATTTTCTAGTGTTTGTTACAACTGATAAGTTTACATAAAAGTATATTTTATTTCCTGTTCATTGCCTAGCTTGTTTGAGCTCAAAAGTTATTTATAATTTCAAGCTATCTTACATTTACAATACTCCTATTGTCTATATTTTTTTAAAACAAATGCCAAAAGTAACTTTCTGTTAGTTCAAATAATTGGAGGTTTGAATGTATATAATTTTACATTGATTTGTTGGTGTGATCATGTATGTCTATAATAAAAATTTATTTTTAAATAATTATCTTGTTAGGACTGTGCAGTGCTGAGTAATCATTTGTACATCATTGATGTAATATAAACAAGTGTGAAATTTATTCATATATATATATATATGTTTTGTTTTAGTAATTTCAATAAGAAGATTGAGACAATAGTGAAAATAAACTTTTACTTCAAATGTTTTTCGATATAAAAATTGGTGTCTCAATGAAAGCTGTATCTCCGCTGTAAATTCTGTATGGATCCACAATTCATAATCACAAAGAGAATACTAGCTACCATATCACTTTGGAGAATTTCAAAATTCTAAATTAAGGCAGATCTGATATAGAATTATTAATAAAAAAAACAGTGTTCATAAAAAAATAATCCTCTTAGTCACACAGCCAACTTTTATAAATTAAAACTGCTTTATTCAGGAACTGTATTCATATCTTTGCACAAGAAATGGCTAGTACCTCATGCACTGCCATAAAGATTTTCTGTGCATGCCACAAGCTTTAAATGAAGCTCCCACACCTACATGTATTAATGTGTATTGCACCAACCTATGATGTAATCATCGTTAGGCTATAGCTCTGCACCAGTAGGAGGGCACCATATTCTTCATGCACAGTAATCCCAATGAACACTAGCATTTGAACAAAGGCTCATTCATTCCTCAGCACTGCTTGTCTTCAGAAGTGTTTCTTGTCACAAGAATTACCAAAATATTTGTTTTTATTGTTTTTAACTTTTGTTACTGTTTGTCATATAGTCTTTTTTCCTAAATTTTCTTGCTTATAAAAAAAATCATACATATAATTTTAGAGTTATCAGTTAGACCTTCTTCTAAGTATTTCTCAGTAAATGATCACCATAATACCAGTTTCATGGATCAAGTGGATTATGCATTCATGTACTTCTCATTTTTACACTTCTTCATGAGAGTCATTCAATACTGTAGTGGCAACTGGAGACACTGTGACAGTCAATGATATTACAACCATGCAGCACATGGTTGGTTCCATTCTTACTTTGGTTTCTGGATTCCTGACCTTCTGATTCTCTTACTTCAGTCAAGCCTGCCTCATTTTGTAAGTGTTTCACAACTGTTGTTTCCATGCTTCCCTTTGCTTCTTGTTCACCTGTTCCTGATGAGAATTAGGTAGAACTACATTAGTTCTTCACTTCTTGGATTTCACTGGTATTTGTCTATTGTTTTTTTTTTCTCTAGCCATTCTTTGCTGATCTTCTGGCTTCCTTATTTAGCAAACTCTTTTTCCTTCTTCCCCCTGTCCTTCTACTTGCCTTTCTTTCTTATTACCTCTGCCACCAAAAGTGGATGGAGGTTATGTTTTCACCCTTGTATGTGTGTGTGTTTGTCAACAAGATTTCTTGAATGGTGGAATGGAGTTGAACAAAAGCTGGTGTGCATTTGGACTGTGACTCAAGCTAGAATTTATTAGTTTCTGGAGGGTCAAGATCACAAAACTCCAAAAATTTTCATTTCTGTTAACACGGAGACTGATTTTTCACACTATTTTTGTTCTATAACTCAGTCAAAAATAAGTGCATTTTCATGAAATTTGAGGAACATATGTAGAATATAATTCTTCATTGTTCTGCCAAAAATGGTCCATATCCATTGATAAAGATTGACATATGGACAGATTTCTGTATTTTTTTGAGGGCCAAATATGATCAATGCTGTGTGGCAAAGGGATGCACTCTATTGAGTGCCCCTCTAGTTCATCTTCCTTTAGAGGCTTAACATCACGACTCTATCAGTTTTACCAGGACAACTTCAACTTACCTGTTTTTCACCTTGCTCTTGATTTTTTCCATTTTGTCCTAGTTCACTTTTTGGGATGTACTTCATCAAGTTGCCTTACTTTCTGACATCCACCTCTCTTAATCTTATTTTAGAACCTCTGTCTTCACCCTCTCTTTGTGATGGTTTTCTAAGAATATGATTTATACATTGGCATATGTAGCTGATGCAACTCATCTACATTGTTCATACAAAATAATTCCTCTTAGTCACACAGCCAACTTCTATAAATAACTGTCTCAGTTTGGTTTCTTGCTTTTGGGACCAGGATTCTTCTGGTATGGCCTCTTTCCTGTTCTTTGTCCTCTTGTTGTTATCCACAGCCCTTATTCTTTGAGGGCTTTTGTCTTTGGTATCGAAGATTGCTTGTTTCTGGAGCTACCACATAGCTCCAGTCCTGTGGGAACACTATTCTCTCATTTTTACATCTTTGAACTTCCTTTGTTACAGTCTGTTGAACACTTCAGGGGATTTTCATGTCACACATGTTTCAAATGTCATGGGTCAATTTCTCAACCCCACTTTGGAGTTTTGCTCTCATTTTTTGTCATTTCCATGATGCCAGGAGATTTGCAACCAGTCATCATTCTGTCCCACTTGACCTAACAGTTTCCAATTAATGGTTTTCTCATTTGGTAGTTGATATTCTCCAAGTGTTGGGTGACATGATTCAAGGTCTAAGACACTTTCTACACATTTTGGTTTGTCTGTTTGCCTTTTATTTCTTGGAGTTCATCCACAATGGTTAAACATTTGGTTCTCAGCCCTTCCCTTCCAGTTGGCTACAGCCCCATCATTTTTCATTGGGTCTAATGGACCTTAATTTGTTCAAAGATTAAATTCTTCCACTAGTCTATGACCATTTGGTCTCTACTTGCCCCCTTTCAACAAGGTTTCTTCTGTTGTGACCTCCTTTCTTTTCCCTGAGTCATCTTGTTTGGGGCAGCTTGTTCATGCTCCAATTCAGTCTCAACCTCCACTTGTAGTTTTTTCATGTGGGAATCTTTCTCATTTTATATGTGGAGGAGGTTCAGCCTACTTCATTGTGTCTTTGAGACATGGAGCTTTTGCTACCAAGCCGCTCAAGTCTCATTCATTTCCTGCATGAGAGGATTTGCCTCTTTAGAGGAGTGGTTCTTAACCTTTTTTTACTCCATGCCCCACCTCGACACCTCAAAAAATTTGATGCTCCCTTAATATAAAAACAAATTTGGTGTTGAAAAGGTATAATAATCTGATGTAAAATTTAGAAATTTAGTTTTGAGTTACAGAACGTTTTCACTCTTCACACCCAAATGAAAAATATTTCTTATTGTAGCATTTTCAAATTGCCCCCCTGTGGGACGTGCACCCCATGTTCAGAATCACTGCTTTAGAGGAAATTTTCTTCTCTTGAGATCCACTGTCATCTTTTCTTTTTTCACAGTTGTGGTGGCTCATTCAATCATACACATCTCCCCCCCCCCCCCCCCACCTTATCCAGACTTGCATCTGTCTGGAGCCCTCTAGTTACTTTGTGCTTTACAACAACCAATCCTACAAACAATCTTTTCCATTAATGCTTCTGTTCAAGTGGGGTACAATTAGAAATGCCTGATCCATTTCTGGCATTTGGTCTCCTGAGGAAAGATTTCTCTATCTCAATTACATACTAAAGATTGTGGCTGTTTCACAGGCTAGCTATCATCTTTTGTCTCATCTGTCTGGTCTTCTTATCAGGATTGATTCAGACATCTTCTTTGTTTTTTCCATCCCTCATCAGGGAGGCTTTTATTCCTGGGACCTATAGATTCATGACTTTGAACTTTATCTTTTGGTCTAAGGGGCAGTGGAAAGAGTCATGCCAGTTCTTTCAGAGTTTTATTTCCATCTTCATTGGGATCAAGAAGACAGGAGATTGGTGTTCAGTCATTGATCTTTCTCGTCTGTATCATTTCCTAGAGTCTCCATGGTTCACAAAGGAGTCATTCTTCACTCTGCATTGGTATTTTTACTAGGATTGTGGATGTCAATGTTGCCAACTCCCACCTGCACGTTTCCATAGCAGTGTCATCCAGCCACTATCTGTGTTTTGTGCACAAGGGTCAAATGCTAGAGTTTAAGGCTCTGCCCTTCAGGTTAGCATCGGCACCATATGGGTTCTGCCGAATCGTATGAGTTTTTCGTCACCTAATTTCTATAGGCCTGTACACACACCATTCCATGAATGAGTAGTTGCTGCTGGCACCACCTCGTCAGTTGCCGGAATGTCAAACCCAGATTCAACTTTCAGAAGCCACCAAGACAGACTCCATTATCAGAGCTGTAAATTCTGTTCTCACTCCAACACAATATATCATCAGTGTGAGTATCTTTCTCAACACGTATCTCAGTCGGACTGAGCTGACTCCCATCCAGCTCCAAGCAATGGAACAGGCAGTCTGACTCTCACTCATGTCTCCATCTCTCACTGTGTGAATGGTCCTTTCTCTTTTGTGGATGGGGGCATTACTTGATTACCTCATTTCTTTGGAATAAGTGCACAAGAGATACATTCAGTGGTCTTTATGTGACCAATGAATCATGAATAGTGATTCACTGGATTCCCCAGTTTCATTACCTTCAATCTCGAGTGGTGGTTAGATCAGAACAATACTACGATAGGTATTCCTCTGCCGCCACTTTGTCCAGAGATCCATTTCTTCATGGATGCCTTGCTTCAGGGATCCGGTGCATATCTCAATGGTCAG